GCTACGCGCGCCGAGCATTTGTCCCTGGTTCGCAAAGTGCTGGCCCGACTGTTGGAACATGACCTTTATGCCAAGGCAGAAAAATGTCTGTTTTTCCAGCAGTCAGTCTCCTTCCTCGGATACCGCATTACCACCTCAGGTGTGGAGATGGAGGGAGATCGCATATCAGCCGTGCGTAATTGCCAGACTCCAACCACGGTTAAGGAGGTGCAGCGCTTTATTGGCTTTGCCAACTACTATCGGAGGTTTATCTGGGGCTTTGGCAAGGTCGCAGCTCCCATCACATCACTGTTGAAGGGTGGGCCGTCCCGGCTCCGCTGGTCAGCTGAGGCTAACAGGGCCTTCAGTAACCTGAGGGTTCTGTTCACCTCAGCCCCAGTACTGGCCCATCCCGATCCATCACTACCATTCATAGTGGAGGTGGATGCGTCCGAGGTAGGGATAGGCACTGTCCTTTCTCAACGCTCGGGCACACTACCCAAGCTCCGCCCCTGTGCCTTCTTCTCCAAGAAGCACAGCCTGGCGGAGCAGAACTACGACGTTGGTGATCGGCAGCTGTTGGCTGTTGTCCGAGCCCTGACCGTGTGGCGGCACTGGCTCGAAGGGGCAAAACACCCTTTCCTCGTCTGGACGGACCACCGTAACCCGGAGTATATCCGGGCAGCGAGGAGGGCCCTATTCTTCACCCGGTTTGATTTTACCCTATCTTACATCCCTGGTACGAAGAACATGAAGGCAGACGCACTGTCATGGCTATATACGACACAGAGGAGAGGCCCATAGACAACACCCCCATACTCTCGGCATCCTGCATTATGGCGCTGGTAATATGGACGCGGACATAGAGTGGGCGCTATGCACAGAGCCATCTCCACCTCAGTGTCCAGCTGGGCTGCAGTATGTGCCTTCTCTTGTCTGTCTGATCTACTGGGCACACACGTCCCCCTCCTCTGGTCACCCAGGGATTGGTCGTACAGTGCGCCGCCTGACTGAAAAGTACTGGTGACCTACCTTGACTAATGACGTGAGGGTGTAGGTCTCCTCCTGCTCGGTGTGCGCCCAGAGTAAGGCACCTAGGCACCTCCCAGCGGGTAAGTTACAGCCCTTACCAGTTCCACAACGGCCATGGTCCCACTTGTGTAATGACTTCCTTACTGATCTTCTCATCTCTCAAGGTAACACCATCATCCTGGTCGTTGTGGACCGCTTTTCCAAAGCCTGCTGCCTCCTTCCTCTGCCCGGTCTCTCCACGGCCCTGCAGACTGTGGAGGCCCTGTTTACACACGTCTTCCGGCACCACGGGGTGCCAGAGGACATAGTGTCTGACCAGGGTCCCAGTTGACATCCAGGGTCTGGAAGGTGTTCATGGAACATCTGGGGGTCTCGGTCAGCCTGACCTCTGGTTTTCACCCCGAGTCTAATGGGTAGATGGAACGGGTGAATCAGGATGTGGGTAGGTTCCTGCGGTCCTACTGCCAGGACCGGCCGGGGGAGTGGTAGGTGTTCTTGCTATGGGCTGAATATGCTTAGAACTCTCTCTGCCACTCCTCCACTAACCTAACGCCATTTCAATGTTTTTTAGGTTATCAGCTGGTTCTGGCACCGTGGCATCAGAGCCAGACCGAGGCTCCTGCGGCAGATTACTGGTTTCAGAGCATGGAGGAGACCTGGAACGCTGCTCACATCCACCTCCAATGCGCCGTGTGTCGCAAGAAGGCCAACGCTGACCGCCACCGCAGTGAGGCCTCGGTCTTTGTACCGGGTGATCGGGTCTGGCTCTCGACCCGGAATATGCCCCTCCGCCTGCCCTGCCGGAAGCTGAGCCTGCGGTTTGTGGGGCCGTTCAAAGTCCTGAGGAGAATAAATTAGGTTACTTATAGGTTACTACTCCCTCCAGATTACCGCATTAACCCCTCATTCCATGTGTCTCTCCTCAGGCCGGTGGTGGTTGGTCCGCTCCAGGAGTCTGAGGTGCGGGAGGTCCCTCCGCCCCATCTGGACATTGAGGGGGCCCCGGCGTACTCCGTCCGTTCCATCCTGGATTCGAGGCTTCAGGAGGGGAGCCTTCAGTACCTCCTGGAGTGGGAGGGGTATGGTCTGGAGGAGCTGTGCTGGGTCCCGGTGAGGGATATATTCGATCCCTCCCTGTTGCGGGATTTCCACCGTCGCCATCCGGCTCGCCCTACTCTGCGTCCTCCTGCTGGAGCTGTCACGACTTCTTCCGAGGCTGCCTCCTCTCCTTGTTCAGGCAGGCTTCGGTGTTCGTTGTCACCAGCCTTCTAGCTACTGCCGCTCCTCATCTCATCATTCCATTTGTTTTGTCTTGTTTATTACACACACCTGGTTCATATCCCCTCATCAATACCTGTATAGGTGTTCCCTCTGCCCCCTTGTCTTTGTGTGTGATTGTTTATTGTGGAGGAGAGAGAAGCTCGGTGGAGCTCCGTGTATTTTGAATCGCCGGGAATATTCCCTGTGTGCCTTGTATTTTCCAGTGTGCCTGTTTGTGCAATGGAGTGTTTTTACGCATTACTGCGTAACTCTGTGGTTCAGAATAAATCCTGTTCTTCTGTGATTTACCCTCCTGCGCCTGACTCCTTCAAAATCACCTCATCACAAACATTCCGAAATTCCAAACACAAAATGTCTCGACATGGCATTGAGTGTCTTGAGACAAAGGCTGTGTCTAAAGACATGTCTTCAAAATGTGTCTTAAGACATCTTGAGACGTCTTGAGAACAAAAGTATCTCAAGAGGTCTTGAGACGTCTCAATTGCATGTCTCAAGACATCTTAAGACATCTCTAGACAAACGAGATGGCTGGGTATGTAGCAGGGGCTCAACTTTCACTGGGGAGGGGAAGACACTTCCGTTTGCCTACTAACGAATCAAAACTCTTTGACCACTGAACCACTTATCGGTTTCCGGGTCACGGAGGAGAGAGGACGGAGGATGGACTTTTGCCCAAATGAGAAAAGGCCATGGAATATGTAATGGCTCATGGTAAAAATGCGTGTGGAGATGACGTATCTCTGTACTTGCCACTGAATGTGTTGAGCATCGGATTAAGGACCAGGACAGCTGCTCACGGCCCATACGGTTTAGCAAATGTTTTTTAACCAGTCAACAAAGTAATCACTATCAAGATAGTAAGCAAACCATTCATTCAGGTGATGCAATTGATTTTGCACAATCTGTAAGATTTCCTGCTGTTCAATGGCCATTTCAATTTATAACCACTGATTCTTGAAGAACATAGGCCTATTGCTTCATTATAAATTAGTCCAGGCATCCATAAAGAATTATCCACCCCCATCCCTCAGTTTCCCAAACAACGTGGCATCCAAGGTCAGGCTGTTGAAATGACAGATTGTAGGCCTACATTTAAGGTCTCTAAACAAGGACGACCTGACCCAAGACAACAGCTAACAGAGATAGGGCTCTTAGAAAAAAGGGTTCCAAAAGGGTTCTTCAGCTGTCCCCATAGGAGAACCGTTTCTAGATAGCACCTTTTTTCCTAAAATAATTGCCAAATAATAAGTCCTATAGGCCTTCGCACAAGGTCATGTTTTACAGTTTACACAGTGAATGTCAGTGCTCTGCTGCTGTTCATAACAAAACAACTATGATGTTTAAGTGATCATGTTTTTGTCAACTATGATGTTTTATAGTTTTGCCATTTAAATATTTCCTAATCGAGGACGGAGGATGTTACTGTGCTTTGCGATTGCTACCTAATTCCATATATACAAAATATATTAAGTATTCTGTGAAACGCACACACTCATGCACACACACGCTATGAATGAGAACCAGAGAGCTATATAATGCAACTATGAGGCCAGAGTAGGCTACACACTATACCACGCTGTGTGGGTATTTCAATTAATCACTGGGGTGCAATATGTTCTTCGTTGATAGGTTTATTCCCATGTTATTTACAATTCTAAAGTCAACATTGAACACTGTCTTGTTCAGGCTTATAGCTGGGAACAATTACACTAGGCCTTCCTGTAGCCTATTTATTTATATTTTAGTCATTTAGCAGACGCTCTTATCCAGAGGGACTTACAGGAGCAATTAGGGTTAAGTGCCTTGCTCAAGGGCACATCGACAGATTTTTCACCTAGTCGGCTCGGTGATTATAGAACCAGGGACCTTTCGGTTACTGTCACAACGCTCTTAACCACTAAGCTACCTGCCGCCTATCAGAGAGGTGATTTGATTCTCCCTGTGGCCAGGAGTGAACATGGCCCAATCCCAATGGACCCCTAAACCCTACGCCTGATGCACTTGTGAAGATCTGAGAGGATTTGATTGGTAGAAGCAAAATGGAGAAACGTATATAATTTCAATAAAAAAGGGCAAGGTAGATGTATTACCATCTTGCATACACCTGTCAAATGTTCTTAGATCTCCAGAAGTGCATAGGGTGTAGGTAGCCTATAGGTGCCATTTGGGATTGAGTCCAGCTTCACCTGACGGCCGCTGTCCACAGCTCTGTGGTTCTGAAACTCAGATTCGCGGGGATTTGAGGGCACAATGCCCAACTGTGATTAGACCATTGAGCACACTATCTAGCTGGATTAGGCCATAAATTCACTGGCTAGGATTTAGCTGATTTTGGAGTAACAAGTGGATATTCGTCATCGGATGTTCATACCATAGGCAATAACTCATTAAATTGCATAATTTTTTTCTGTGACATCTCAACCCGATTTGTTAGGCCTACACAACCAGTCCCTTGAATACGAACGTTGCATTAATTAGAATCCAAGGGAATTCAGCCCATCCCTGTTAACCAGCCAAAGAGAAGTCTGGTCCCCTCTTGCATCTTTTATATAAACCCAGTGGCAAGGCATAGATGTGGCATACCTCTCACACGCAAGAGCTTAAAGCACACACCTCTCCACCTCTCTCTGACTCTTTAGAAGCGCGAGCTATGGCATGAGTGACAAGACTGTGACACTCTCTCTCTTTGCTCGCTCTCTTATCTCTCGATGAGTAACAACAGTGTGGGTCTGTCGCCCGTGTTGCCCCTCAATAGTTTCGGGAATGTGCTGATGTTTCTTTTCAGCATAGCGCTGGCGGCCGCAATTATTTTCCTCAACATCTCCGTGTTTCTCTCAATCATGATGAACAAGTCGCTGCGCAGCGAGAACCGCTTCATGTACATGCTGAGTACCTCTTCCAGCGACATCTGCTCTGGGGTATCCTATTACTATGTGGGCGTCCTCGACGTGAGGGACAGCTATGACTCCCCTAAAAGAACGTTTTACATCGCTCCCACGTTCCTGGGGCTCTCGTACATGGCTATACTGGCTGCACAGTCCGATAGGTATCACGCCGTGACAGCACCTTTTAAATACTCCCAGAGAATTACCCGCAACAGGACCCTGCTTGTCATTCTATTTTACTGGGTTTACGCTTTTGTCATCGTGGCGGTGAACAATCTAGTTCCAATGGGGATCGCGAAACAAGTCACAGGTTTCGGGACCTTCGTTGCGAACATTTTCACTGTGATCATTATGATAGGCCTGAATATTAGACTGTTCTTCATAGCTAAATTCCAGTTGGAGAGAGAGCCGCCCTCGGTGGAGAGAGAGAACAAGCGCTCTTCGGTGTACCTAATCATAGTAGTGGCAGTGTTTTTCCTGGCGGCATGGTTACCCATTTTCATCCATATCATTTGTTGTAATTTTATCGGGTCTACATGTTATTCGTTTAGAAACGAAGGAACCGATCCCCTTAGAATTCTTCCACGCTTAAATGCGGTGTTAACCCCGCTGTTGTACATCAGAGGCTGTGCCTCTCTCAGGGCGACGCTGTTCACCAAGGTTTGGAAACCTTGCTGTAGAAGAAGGTAATAGTCATGCATTTTGGGCACCTTTCTTGTAATCTTCAATTGGAGTCTTTACGTGTTTAGGGCACATTTCTACCCAAAAGTATTTTATGTTCAGAAAAGGTCTTTGGAATGCCTGCACACTAACTCTCCAAAAGTTGATTATGCAATTAAAAATGTTCGGTTGGCAATAATTTATAATTTGTCATTAGTTGAGATAAATGCCAATATGCGTGTGCACATCTATTTGTTTTCATGTAAAATATTATACATCTTATTAGGATTTATATCTTACATCTGACTGATATAGCCTAACTGATTTATGCTTCCAAAAAATGGAAGTTGTATTTTAAAGTGAGCTTGCTGCCAAGGCGTGTCGAGCATCATTCTAAAAATCATGGGCATTAATATAGAGTTGGTCCCCCCTTTGCTGCTATAACAGCCTCCACTCTTCTGTGAAGGCTTTCCACTAGATGTTGGAACATTGCTGCTGGGACTTGCTTCCATTCAGCCACAAGAGCATTAGTGAGGTCGGCACGGATGTTGGGCGATTAGGCCTGGCTCGCAGTTGCCAGTTCCAATTCATCCCAAAGGTGTTCGATGGGGTTGAGGTCAGGGCTCTGTGCAGGCCAGTCAAGTTCTTTCAGCATTGTTATGCTGAAACAGGAAAGGGCCTTCCCCAAACTGTTGCCACAAAGTTGTAAGCACAGAATCGACTAGAATGTCATTGTATGCTGTAGCGTTAAGATTTCCCTTCACTGGGACTAAGGGGCCTAGCCCAAACCATTATTCCTTCTCCACTTCTCTATGCATTGGGGCAGGTAGCGTTCTCCTGGCATCCGCCAAACCCAGATTAATCTGTCGGACTGCCAGATGATGAAGTGTGATTCATCACTCTATAGAACGCGTTTCCACTGCTCCAGTCCAATGGCGGTGAGCTTAACATCACTCCAGCCGATGCTTGGCGTTGTGCATGGTGATCTTAGGCTTGTGTGCGGCTGCTCTGCCATGAAAACCCATTTAATGAAGCTCCCGATGAACAGTTATTGTGCTGACGTTGCTTCCAGAGGCAGTTTGGAACTTGGTAGTGAGTGTTGCAACCAAGGACCGATTATTTTTATGCGGCTGAGCCGTTGTTGCTCCAAGACGTTTCCATTTCACAATAACAGCACTTACAGTTGACCGGGCCAGCTCTAGCAGGGCAGAAATTTGACGAACTGACTTGTTGGAAAGGTGGCGTCATATGTTGGTGCCACGTTGAAAGTCACTGAGCTCTTCAGTATGGGCCATTCTACTGCCAATGTTTGTCTATGGAGATTGCATGGCGGTGTGCTCGATTTTATGCCCCTGTCAGCAACGGGTGTGACTGAAATCGCCGAAGCCACTAATTTGAAAGGGTGTCCACATACCATTTTAGACCTCATCATCCAGATTTCGTGTAATGACTTGAACAGTAGTGCTTTAAATGTAAATTTTTACAGATATCTTTTTGAAACAATTACTTGTCATACTGTGGAGAGTTCTATTGGAAAATTATTGCATATATAAATAGGTCTCCATATATAAATGAAATTCTCCAACTCATGTCTCCAACCAGTTCTTTGTGAGTTTTATGTTGGAAAACGCCTCAGACATTATGTTGAATCAATAACAATGACCAACCAATTTTATAAAACTGTCTGTTAAAATATACACAATTTGATATCTCTGGCATATCCTAGTTTTATGATAGAAAATGCCTCAAACGTCATGATTTTCACCTTAACATCAGAACTATGTTTAAAATAATGTTTCAAGTTTAAAACACACAATAGTGTCTAATATCATTTAATCAGAATTTCCTCTGTTCAAATTCTCCAAATCACGTCCTCTACCAGTCCTGTATGAGTTGTATGTTGGGAAATTTCTCTAACATGATGTTGGATCAAACTAATGACCAATCGTTGAAAACTGTCAAAATGTACATTGCTCTGTTAAAACACACACAATTTGATATCTCCAGCGGACCTCTGCTAGTTTATGGTAGAACATTTCTCAAACGCAATCATGATTTTCTTTTAATATCAGAACTGTGTTTAAAAGAATAATTCAAGTTTAAAACACACAATAGTGTTCTCCTATCATTTAGAACAATTTTCCTCTAAGATTCTCCAAGTCATGTCTTCTACAAAGTCCTGTATGAGTTGTACATTGGAAAATGCCTCTAGCGTGATGGTTGAAACTGTCTAATGGTTGAAACCCATCTAAAAGTATGTTTTGCTTAGGCAATGATAAAGTTATATATTATTAGCCTATGATAATTCAATGTTTCATTTATTTCTAAAGTAGCCTATTAATTTGCCATGGTAAGGTAGCCTTCCTCTCCTTTGAGGAAAACCAATTTTTCCTTATAGGCAATTTGGATGAAAAGTTCGTTAAAGTCGAAATTTGAAAATGACCTGAAGGCTAATGGTTGTTTAACATCTGAATGCTTCTGTGTCCTCTTTTCTCTAGCGTGAGTCCAGGACGACCTGGACCTAACGGACATCCGGTCAATACTGTCTTCAAAACATGAGGTTCCCTTACAAACAAGAGAGGATCATTTCAAAACGTTAGGAATGTGGCGATAAAGGGAGACAAGACATTGAAGAGAATTTGATTCTAAGTCTGAATATGTTGAAAATAGGTAGTAAATGATATAGATTATAGGCCTATATAAATATTTCTCATGTAGGTTCAAATCATTGTGTCACGACTTCCGCCGAGGCTGCCTCCCCTCCTTGTTCGGGCAGGTTTCGGCGTTCATCGTCACCGGCTTACTAGCTGCTGCCGATCCATTTATCATCACTCCACTTGTCTTGTCTAATTTATCACACACACCTGGTCCTTATCCCCAATTAGTCATTGTATAAGTGTTCCCTCTGCTTCCTTGTCTGTGTGGGTAATTGTTTGTAGTGAGCTGTGTGTATATCGGTTGAGCTACCCTTACCTTGTTGTTGCCAGGGTAGATATTTCCCCTGTGCCTGAGTTTTGTTGTCGCATGCTTGCGCAACTGTTTATCGACGGAATAAACTCTTTGGATGCATATTACTCTCCTGCGCCTGACTCCTTCTATCACACATTGTTACACTGTGGATAGGCCTATGGCTACTATCGAAAGTTCGATGTGATTAATTAGACCACCAGGTTTCTGAATAGACACCACTAGTCAGCTACCTGCTCCCCCCTCCCCCTGCTACTCCCCCTATGGACATTACCCCCGTTACTCACCCCCATGGACATTCCTCGCCTCTACACTCTCAACTTTCACTTACCTTACCTGCTTCAGACCCAGGGCCGTGAGCTTTGTAAAGAGCTTATAGGGCACTATGGTATTGAAGGCCGAGCTGTAGTCGATGAACAGCATCCTCTCATTCCTTTTGTCCAGGTGGGTAAGGGCAGTGTGCAGTGCACTGGCAATTGCGTTGTCCGTGGATCTGTCAGGCCGGTAGGTGAATTGGAGAGGGTCGAGTGTGTCGGGGAAGGAGGAGGTGATATGGTCTTTGACTAGCCTCTCAAAGCACTTCATGATGACGGAAGTGAGTGCCCTTGGTCGGTAGTCACTCAGTTCAGTTACTTTCCCTTTCTTGGGCACAGGGAAGATAGTGGACATCTTGAAGCAGGAGGGTATAGACGCCTGAGCTAGGGAGATATTGAACATGTAAGAGAATACAACAGCCAGCTGGTCTGCATATGGTCTAAGGGAACGGCTAGAGTAGGGTTAACACATTTGAATGACTTACATACGTCCTCAGTGGAGACTGTGAGTGTGTAGCCCACGTTGTCATCGGGGGCACTCCTCGTCATCTCAGGGTCATTGTGCTCGAATATTGAGAAAAAGGTGGTTAGCTCGTCTGGTAGGTGACGTTGGTGACCGTGATGTGGCTGGCTTTCTTTTTGTAATCCGTGATCGTTAGGAGCCCCTGCCACATATGCCTTGTGTCTGACCCGCTGAATTGCTCCTCCACTTTGTCTCTATACTTGTGTTTCGCCATCTTGATTGATCTGCGTAAGTCATATTTGTACTGTTTAACCAAACTATTGTCCCCGGTCACCTTGCCCTGTTTATAAGCAACATCTCTCTTTTTCAGTTTTCCTACAAGGCTGCTATCAATCCACGCTTTTTGATTCGGGTACGTTTTGAAAGATACTATCGTTATTACGTCATCTATGCATTTTTTGATGAATCCGGTGACTGAGTCGGCATATTCATTGACATTATCTAATTGAAAGTGCTGATATTTGAATAGGTAGGCTATGTCAAGCAATAGACATAGATATAATTGTTCATATTTGTAGGCTTATTTTATTTATCCTAATAGCGTGGATATTGATTGATTGATTGATTCGGCTATAACAATTCCTCTACTCAAAGTGAAATGGGTTTAGCATATCTAAAAATGAAGATAGGCCTATTTATAATATTGAGACTGTGATTTTGCGGTCCCCTTCATGTCTGCATGTTGTATCAAGCGTCTCGGAGGAGTGCTGATCTAGGATCAGCTTCCCCCTGTCCAATTTTATTCATTGTGATCTAAAAGGCTAAACTGATCCTAGATTAGTGCTCATACTCTGATACGCTTGACTACATTTGGCCACATATTTTTTGCAAACCATTTGGGGGCGAGAAAACATCTTCTTCAGTGGTTTCAGGCAACTCCTACTCTGACAGGGGGTCGTGTCCTGTCGTCAGTACTTCGGGGTAGCTGGACTATAGGCAACCGCGGCGTGTCAGGAGTGTCAGGAGAGCTCTTTGGCACAGATCCATAAAACGGCTAGGCCCACTCCTTGAGCCATCCATGGAATGTGAACTCTGGTTATCCCATATGGTCATTAATTATTTGCACAATGCATGAAAGGGGAGCCCCTGTTCACTACTCCCAAAATGACATCACCTAACTGCATGTACTAGCCTTCTTGGAAAGAGGAATCATCAGAAGCAGCCATTGTAATTATTTGGTAATGTCGGATCGACAGACAGTGCACGGTAACAAAGCTCCCGCGAACCTGTAGAAACTAGTCCCGCTCCCATTTTGAAAAGCCCGCCTTCGAGGTTGGGAACACAATTGGACAAGGAGGTAGGGCTCCCGTCAGGCTGTAGTCTTTACAAAGCCAGGGAAAATTAGTCAACCTAGAGATCCTGCAATGTCCTGGCAGATAGGAACATCATTGAGACAAATCCAATGGCTCTATTAAACAAGCACAACCATATCTACTCGCTGCTAGCGTGACCTTGCAATTGGCAAAACACAAAGGCCACAACAATTGCTACAAAACATGATTCCATTCATTTTTAGATCAGACAGCAGGCTCAATCAACCGTCATTGGAAATTCTTAAATATGCTATGGTGCATAATTATGTTTGAAACACCTCTCATCACTCATAATTATGTAGGGAGACTGGAAAAACACACAAAATATTGTCTAGCGCTTCCCTTTAAAAACCCACGACATGTAACCTATTTTATCTTTAGGCTATAATACCTTGACAGGTCATAACCTAGGCCTATAATATGAGGATGAAATGTCTGCAGCTATTTATTCTATGCAATCACTTATTACAAGCAGCAATGATCAGTTTTGGTTTCACTGTGGCACAATAAATGTTTCCAGGGTGTTTACACCGAAGTGGCCATTCAATAGGTGCAGGTGGCCTGTGTGCAAGAGGAGGGGCCAATAGATCTGTTTAGAACATCTGGTGCCAGGGATTTCGATGTCCATTTTTGGCTAAAATGTTCTGTAATGGACACATTACACACTAAATACTCAATGCCCACTCATATTTTATTCATGCTAATCTTAACGTGGTGGAACCTAACAGGGTGGAAATTTGGAGCCTAAATTTGCCATAGCTGTGGGAGTGAGTAAGATTGAACTAGCATAATGGTGAACACTTGAACAGGATTCTAAATATTCTATCCAACATATTTTAACATTTTGAAATGTGGTTAATTTCCTCTATAATTTAGCCTAACAGGGTGGAAATGTATGAGTGGGACATACAGTACAGACTTACAACTTAGACTTACACCATTGTTTTCCCACCAAAACATGATGACACTTCCTGAATGTGGTATCATTGTAGGAAGGGGTTGTTTTCTTAAATTGAGAATTACAACAAACTAACAGGGTAGAAAGTGATATCAGGGACACACAGAACATCTTTAATAAAATAATAATAAAAACGTTATTGATGAGAGAGAATTTAACTAGGACTATAAAATAATGAAGAAATATTTGACTTTTTTTATTATTTTATGGCTTATATTTCTCATGGAAGTTGATGAATAACACCTGGGGATATGGCAAAAAACACCTACATCCACTGAAAAAAAGTTTCAAGATCCATATTTTTGTGTTTTTAAGGTACACTAAATAAGAAGTGATATTTCCTGGGGACAGTAAAGGCACCACATAATAGGAATGAACCTGTTCACAGTAGCCTATCATCTCCATCTCGGATACATTATTAGGCTACTAAGAGTTGGTGAAGGGACTTCATGTTGATAAAACTGTCACTTCACTCCCCTATTACTGGGCAATGTTTATATGACCCCCTTACAAATAGGCCCATTTTTACCACATTCTTGCATGCATACACCTTTTATGCCTCCCATGCGCATGCCGGCATGCCAGGACAAGTGGTAGTAGTGGACTGCAGATGTGGGTGGGCGTTTATTTTAACGAATCCATTGAGAATATACAACATCAAAATAAATGCATGATTAATTTGTTTAGGAAGGTCCTAAGAAATATTATACGACTAATAAAATGTATTTTCAAAAGAATCAAATAGCATATTTTGAGTTTAATTAGGCATATATTATGGGTCTGTGCAGCCATGGCTGCACCATCCAAATTAAATCAATATATATCACTATTTTGTTCATTAAACAGACAAGACACACCTACCCGATCACAGTCAATACACATACAGTGGGGAGAACAAGTATTTGATACACTGCCGATTTTGCAGGTTTACCTCCTTACAAAGCATGTAGAGGTCTGTAATTTTTATCATAGGTACACTTCAACTGTGAGAGACAGAATCTAAAACAAAAATCCAGAAAATCACATAGAAAATGGAAGAAGTTCAAGATGACGGTCAATCACCCTCGGTCTGGGGCTCCCTGCAAGATCTCACCTCGTGGGGCATCAATGATCATGAGGTGAGGGATCAGCCCAGAACTACACGGCAGGACATGGTCAATGACCTGAAGAGAGCTGGGACCACAGTCTCAAAGAAAACCATTAGTAACACACTACGCCGTCATGGATTCAAATCCTGCAGCGCACGCAAGGTCCCCCTGCTCAAGCCAGCGCATGTCCAGGCCCATCTGAAGTTTGCCAATGACCATCTGGATGATCCAGAGGAGGAATGGGAGAAGGTCATGTGGTCTGATGAGACAAAAATAGAACTTTTTGGTCTAAACTTCACTCGCCGTGTTTGGAGGAAGAAGAAGGATGAGTACAACCCCAAGAACACCATCCCAACCGTGAA